CTCTCTCTCTCTCTCTCTCCTTTTTTTCTCTTGTTTGGTAAGTGTTTATGGCGCTTGCAACTGCATACGGTCATATGAGCGCGCGGGACACAATAAACATGTTCAGTTTGGTAGGAACTCATTTCGAATTTTGCAATGCTGGCGGCCGAAGCCCACTCTTATCGATTTTGGAGCACCAAGGGATCTTTAACGTGTGCAACTTGCACACGGTGACTCAAACAACACTAAAAATTCCATTTCTGTCGGTTGGCTTTTGTATGTGTTCATTTGTTAAAGATAAGCGCATATTTACGATATTATTTATGGTTTAGTAAGACCATGCCAACAGAGAGCCACTACACGGATAAAGTGAATATGTCAGTAATCTGCTTGAAGTAACATTGTGTACAACATTTGCTCCAATCGAAAAAAGCAATGTCCTGATGAAAAGTGTGTGGATGAAGCAAAATTTATTGCACAACATAAGCAATGGAATACATAATTTATCATTGAAAAATTGTTCCGTGTCCCGATTTGGTGCCGGATAATTATAACGTTCGAAGAAAATGAGTTAACACGTTAATAATAAATTGCTGAGCTTCAAGGGAAATAAAGTCGAATCGGAAAAACTGCTTGGAAACTCATGATGATGATGATGATGATGATGATGATGATGATGATGATGATGATGATGATGAGGATGATGAGGATGATGATGAGGATGATGATGATGATGATGATGATGATGATGACTTAATTATTCAGATGAATGTGCAAGATTGATCTTGACGTTTGTTAATTTCTTCGCCTTCCTGATAATACATTGGATTCAAGCAGAACACAACACTCGTCCCCATAGAGTGACCGCAATTTGGAAACAAATCGTTATCAGGGGACACAACCCTCACCCCTCTACTCCTCAAATAAGTTGACCAAATTCTGGAAATAAGGCGTCATTAAAATCTCGATCGAACAATAATTTTAATAAAGGTATGTTGAAGCATCACATGGAGGCCACTTCTGTGAGATGGCGTTGTTGGTGTTCGTTTGCCTTACTACATGAATTATGCTAACAGGACTTCAAAACAGTGAGGAGAATGTCGGAAGTAATAACAATTGTAATGACGTTCAATGTTAGTACGAATGTGTACAGGAAAAAGATGAACATCTTTCAATATGTATGCTTACAAGTTATCGCTGAATAAAATTATCTAAAATTAGAATCTCTGGAATCCGCCAGTGACTAGTTTAATGTGAATTGTTCACATTATATGGTATGCTACATGCTTCACTATTATCAGAGACACTAAAATATAGAGACAGGAAACGAGGCCTCGCAGTCCGTGACAACAGTGCATTTGCGAACGTGACCGCTGAGACGCGAGCTAAAAATAACCAGGCGCGGTATCGACAGCGAAGCGCGTCGCGTCTAGCCTAGGCCTAGCGAGGCCTAGGCCTTTTGAAACGAAGCGCGTCGCGTCTAGAGGGGCCT